GTTTTGTTTTCAAACAAAAGATGTATGTGACTAATAAATCTACGATATTTTAGCGAATTTGTATAGGTAAATATATTATTTTCTGCTTTGTTCGAAAATTTATATTTTTTTATTATAATTTCACATTCGTTATAAACAAAATACAAAACTACTGTAAACTGTAATATGACTTTGCTAGAAAACAAAAAAAGACTGAATGTAGCGAGAATTTAAAGCGAGATACCACATTTGAAACAATACTGGCATCCGTAAAAGTGCTTTTCCTGCAAAACATCGTGTTTTTGATAGAAGAATGCCGAATTTTTATAAAAGTTCTGTACAGTATATGAATATTTTTTATTAGCTTATTATCAGAAAAAGGTTTTATCTGTCCTACATTGCTTGAGCCACACTACCCCCTGGAGTTTGTTATGAAAAGAGAAATAGTATATTGTAAACAAAGACATTTTACACCCTGAGGCTCTAAGCCAACAGTTCCCAACCTTTTTCGGGTGGCGACCCCTTTTTATATAAGCCAAGTGTCCCGCGACCCCGATACAATTGAAAAAGACATTTTTAATAAGGTAATTTAAAAAACAACGAAATTAGTTTTTTTAGTATAATAGCGAGGTTGGGCCAAAGCGAAAACCTGTACGTCAGACGTTCAGCGCCTCTTTCCTGTAAGCCTAGAAGATTAACAATGATGTTTGGAATGTCTAGCATGATTCCACTGACTTTTTTTTTTAACTCTTTCCGTTCTGTGGGCACTAAGAGAGCCTCTTTTTGCAAGCCCATTATGGGTTCGGTTAGGCCCACCCACAATGGGGCTGCCGGGTGGTCAGGGACGAGGTCCGACATATCCAAACAGACCACCCCCCGAAGAATTCCTGGGGATTTTTCGACCCGTTCGGATTCGAATCCGAGTCCTCCAGAGTGGTGGGTTGCCACCTTGACCGCTTGGCCGCTGATTCCACTGACTATCTAAACACCATTGTCAAACTTCTAGGCTTACAGGAAAGCGGCGCCGAACGTCCGACTTCACGTTTTCGCGTTTAAAACTTTGGCCTCAACCTCGCTAATTTTATTTTAAATTATGTTTAATAATTTAATGTGATGGTTGAAATTGCATGTTATTAACCAGCCTCAAAATTCGCGGGTGAGTTTTTGTTAACGCCAACCTCATGTCATTCTTAACATTTAATTTATTCCTCTCAAACTCTCAACACATGTTTCAACTAACTGTGACAGAATAGCGTATCTAGATTACACTTATTTTAATTTTTTAAAAATACAGTATATGAAATTATTCAAACTTCAAGACACCATTAAAAATAAAAATTGCATTATAGTGAATATTGTTTTTTAGTTTACTGTATAAGTTGGCGACCCCCAGAAAACCCGTCGCGACCCCTTTCTGGGTCGCGACCCACAGGTTGGGAACCCGTGTCCTAACGACTACAGACCGATTTCCCTCCTGGCCGTGCTTGGTAAGGTCCTGGACGGTCTAATGGGCGGCAGGATCCTCTACCATTTGGACAGCAAAAGAGCCCTCCACCCAGCCCAATATGGCTTCAGGAAAAACAAGAGTGCACATCAAGCCATCAATAGGATAATCGACTACATCAACACAGCAAAGCAGGCCGGTAGGCATACCCTTCTGGTAGCTATTGACTTCAAGGGTGCGTTCGACCACGCCTGGTGGCCGACCATCCTCACCTCTCTGGCTGACTCCCACTGTCCCTCAAATGTCTGGGGCCTTCTTCAAAGCTATCTCTCTGAAAGGACGGCCATGGCCACTAACCTGGACAACATAGTCTACACAACACCGATTTCCAGAGGATGTCCCCAAGGCTCCAAATCTGGCCCCTTATTATGGAATGTGCAATACAACGACCTCCTGCATGTCACAGAAAAGGTGCCTCCAGAGGGAAACGCTTATATCCAAGGCTTTGCTGACGACACGGTGGTCCTCCTCTCACACCAGAACCAGGAAACCCTACAAAAGCTAACCAACGCAGTCCTCCAAGCAGTATATGATTGGAGCGAGAACAACAAACTCCTCATCAACTACAACAAAAGTAACTGCATCTGCTTCCCAAAAGCCAACATCCTTCAGAAGAAACCTACAATCTGGATAAATGGTCATCGAATCAAATGTGTCGACACCATTAAATACCTGGGTATCGTCCTAGACCCCAAGCTAACCTGGAAGCCACACACCCACTACATCTACAACAAAGCAATCAAAGCCAGCCACTCGCTCAGAAGCATCGCACGAAACCTCTGGGGACTAGACAGTAGGACCAGTTCCTTCATCTACAAGGGTGCCATAGAGCCAATGTTAACCTACGGGTGTGAGGTCTGGGGCTACTCAGCCCAAAAGATACACATCAGACGCAAGCTGCTTTCTGCCCAAAGGCAAGCTCTAATCGCAATCACTAAGGCTTATAGAACTGCCCCTACAAACGCCCTCCAAGTGATCGCTGGCCTAACTCCGATCCACCTTCAAATTCTTCAACGGTACGTCAAAAACCTGATAATCAAATATCATGCAAAAGAGCTCTCAACAACGCAGCTCTATAATATAATCAACAGGCTAAACCTGCCAAACGACATCCAGAATCTCATCAGGGACTTGGACGACTATGGTATCGATATAAACAACAGTAACGAACTTACTCACCCATCGGAAACCACAACCATGACCATCCACGACATTCAGGACGGTCCCCCCAAGGGGAAGAACTTCTACACAGACGGTTCCAAAACTGCCAACTCTGTTGGGGCCGCTGTCTACTTCACGGATACCCTCACCCCCAGCCACTGGCAAGCCGTCGCAAGGCTAAGGGATCACTGCTCAATTAACCAAGCAGAATCCCTGGCCATCCTCCGTGCTCTACAACACATAAACGATCATCCCCAAAGGTTTCAACACGGCAAAGTAAACATCATCAGCGACAGCAGGTTCGCCCTGTGGCAGGTTAAAAACGAAAACCACAAGCTCCCAATTGTCAACGACAGCCTTAAGACTCTAAAACATTTAAGGGATAAAAATATACAAATCTATTTCTACTGGGTCAAGGGCCACTCAGACACTAACGGAAATGACCGGGCTGATGACCTGGCCAAAAAAGCTGCTAACATTACTTCAAAAATCCACTATCAGGCCCTACCACTCACGGTTGTTCTCAGCTCTCTCCGGTCCATTATAATAAACAAATGGCAAAATGAGTGGGACAACAGCACCATGGGTCGCTACACGTACGCCTTCATCCCCAACATCAACCAAAGGCTGAACAATCACGTCTTCCATACCAACCACGGCCTGACCCAGATGCTCACAGCACATGGTGTTGTAATTTTCGTGTATCCGTGAATGAATCAAGAAAAAAAATGGCGGGATTAATCAACGAGAACGTTTTATTGCTTACGCATGTCCGACTTGGATTTCTATACAAAAAATAACACAGGTGGCGCTTGACTTAAGCGCGGCATACAAAAATATGATTAATCTTAACACTCCTCCTTAATCATATTACAGCGTAACTTTTCGAATATTACACCATTCAAAGGTTTTGTTAGTATGTCAGCAAGCTGATCGGCACTTTTAATATGTTGCAGTTCAACAGTCGTGCCAATATGCTGCTGAATAAATTTTTTTTGTATCTCAATATGCTTTTTACCCTTGGTTATCTTTCCTTGGTGAGTGTTTTTAAGCATGTGAATTGCCGACTGATTGTCGACAAGCAACAAAGTAGGTTCTTCATTCTTTAATAACCTCAGTTCAATCCCTATTCTTCGCACCCAGCAGATATCATCGATAGATGAAACTGCTGCACGATACTCGGCTCTAGCGGTTCAGTTCGCCACGAGACGCTGCTTTCTTGAATACCATACAATTGGACCTCCTCTCATGATAAGAACTCCACTTGTAGAATGTAGACTATTGGCGTCTCCTCCGTAATCCGCATCTGTATATGCTATCAACTTCGGATCTCGGTTAAAAAATATTCCAAAATGTGTAGTTCCTCTCAGATACTGGAAAATTCTTTTAATCATCTTCCAGTGACTTGTCAAGGGTCGATTACTGAATCTACTCAGGTAATTGACGGCGTAGCTTATATCTGGACGGGAGATTGTTGATAAATAAAGCAAGCTTCCGATGGCTTCGAGATAACGATTTTGTTTTTCTAGTGGCTGGTCATTGATAAGGTTTTCAGAATTCGTTTTCATTCCTGGTTCCATCGGTGTATTCACAGCGTTCACTCGATCATACTTAAATCGTTTCAAGATCTTTTCTGTGTAATCAGGTTGACTCACAAAAATTCCTTCAGACGACACTTCGATATTCATACCTAAGTATGTCATACATGATTGTAAAGTTCTTTTATAAGTAATTTCAAACTTGTCATTCAGTNTTTGAAATCATCCTTTACTTAAATTTTATAAAGAAGTTTTACTTTTATATTAAATGTTATAAAATGGCAAAACGCTTAATTTTCAGAGTAAAAAGAAAGATTTAAAAAATGTAAATGCTAATAACGATCAACATTTGCATTAAGACTCCCCACTTGATATAAGACGTTCGACGCAATTATCTCTCTACCGCTCGGGATTAACCACTAAAATATAATAGCATCAATTCTTCCTATCCACAATTTCCATGCGATATTATATTTTTTACACTGTACCTCAACCTGAGAAGTTACACAACCGTTCCAATTTTGTAAAGTACTTCGTGGGTTGCCTTAATCATGTAGAGTGATTTAATTTCGACTTGCTGTAGTACATTATAATTCGAAATGCCGTTCCATGCACTATAGCATTTGAGATAAATTTCCTTCTGTTTTTAGAGATACCTGGGTATCGTCCTCGACCCTAAGCTAACCAGGAAGCCACACACCCACTATATCTACAACAAAGCAATCAAAGCCAGCCACTCGCTCAGAAGCATCGCACGAAACCTCTAGGGACTAGACAGTAGGACCAGTTCCCTCACCTACAAGGGTGCCATAGAGCCAATGTTAACCTACGGGTGTGAGGTCTGGAGCTACTCAGCCCAAAAGATACACATCAGACGCAAGCTGCTTTCAGCCCAAAGGCAAGCTCTAATTGCAATCACTAAGCCTTATAGAACTGCCCCTACAAACGCCCTCCAAGTGATCGCTGGCCTATCTCCGATCCAGCTTCAAATTCTTCAACGGTACGTCAAAAACCTCATAATCAAATATCATGCAAAAGAGGTCTCAACAACGCAGCTCTATAATATAATCAACGGGCTAAACCTGCCAAACGACATCCAGAATCTCATCAGGGACGTGGACGACTATGGTATTGATGTAAACAACAGTAACGAACTTACCCACCCATCGGAAACCACAACCATGATCATTCACGTCATTCAGGACGGTCCCCCCAAGGGGAAGAACTTCTACACAGACGGTTCCAAAACTGCCAACTCTGTTGGAACCGCTGTCTACTTCACGGATACCTTCACCCCCAGCCACTGGCAAGCCGTCGCAAGGCTAAGGGACAACTGCTCAATTAACAAAGCAGAATCCCTGGCCATCCTCTGTGCTCTACAACATATAAACAATCATCTCCAAAGGTTTCAACACGGCAAAGTAAACATCATCAGCGACAGCAGGATTGCCTTGTGGCAGGTTAAAAACAAAAACCATAAGCTCCCAATTGTCAACGACAGCCTCAAGACTCTAAAACATTTAAGGGATAACAATACACAAATCTACTTCCACTGGGTCAAGGGCCACTCTGACACTAACGAAAATGACCGGGCTGATGACCTGGCCAAAAAAGCTGCAAACATTACTTCAAAAATCCACTATCAGGCCCTACCACTCACGACTGTTCTCAGCTCTCTCCGTTCCATTATAATTAACAAATGGCAAAATGAGTGAAACAACAGCACTACGGGTCGCTACACGTACGCCTTCATCCCCAACATCAACCAAAGGTTGAACAATCACGTCTTCCATACCAACCACGGCCTGACCCAGATGCTCACAGCACATGAAAACTTCAGGGCATGCCTCAACAGGTCCCACAACAAGGGTAACGCAAAATGCAACTGTGGAATTCCAGAAGACAAAGACCCAATCCACATCATTTTCATGTCCGAACTACAACTCTCAGAGGAGACCACTCCGCAATGAAGCAGACTCTGAAGGACTTCTTTGGCCATGCCAACTGAAAGACCTTGTTAACAACAACAAACTCTTCAAAGCCTTCAAGACCTTCGTTTCTAAAACCAAATAAAGCATCTACTCCAACGTGGCAAGTAACACCAATTAACGGACCTTTTTCGGCCTACCAAAGCCGGTCTACCTCTCTCTACTCTAATTTTTTCAAGGTAACCCCATACTGTACTCTACACCCCACCCGCCAATAGAAATGGGACTGTTGTACTCTCATGTTTTCTCAAACGAAATTCTAAAGCGCGAACCTCCTACTGCATGTAACCTTATATTTTTGTAATATTGTATTATTGTATTATTGTTTGCTTCAAAAAACAAACCGAAGTAAGCGCTCACGCGACCCTCTCCTCTTTTCCTAACTTTCCCCCATCCTCACCCCTACTTCCTCCTCTCCCTCTCACCTCTACTATTCACCAAGGCAATACATTTTGGTACGCTTTACTATTCAATCACTGTATCACTGTTTTTATAGATGAGGAAATCCATAAATGCAACAATGAATAGCCAATGGTCGTTTATTCGTAAAACACGCATTATATAAATCTGACAGTTTTCTAAGTATTAATCTGTCTCGCTTATTAGGAGACATCTTGTTTACTTCCCACTTTTGAACAACCTATTATTTTTCCATTATATTTTGAAATTCTCAATTATAACGGAAAAATTCTCATTTCCGTATATATTCAGTTCACAAAAAAATTTTTCTCTACAATGCTTTGTAGTGTGGTTATAAAGTTTCATTTTCTTTGTTAAAGTTATGTTTGGAGAAATTCTAAAGTGAATTTACGTCGTTCAATGTTCAATTTCAACGCTATAGATAGTTATTATGCATTACAATAAATGTACTGTGTGCCTAATTGGTTAAACCGTTCTTCTTTAAAAAGCGATTTAATTTCGAAATCTCTTGTAACAGAATATTTGTAATATACATGAAAATTGTTCGTCTTTTGGAAAATTAAATTTTAATACGGATTTTTCTAAGAGATTATAACATCTGTACTCGCAGAAATACCTGTAACTTGTTATAACGTTTCCTGTATAGGGGAGACTGGGGCAAGAACGGCATGTTAAGCTTTACTTAAATTTTGTGTAATAAATACTGCTGTAAACTGAGAAAAAAGCTTTGCATATTGTCTATTGGAATGTTACCTTACTATAGAACTGGTTAAAATCAGTTTGNACAAACCGGAGTAAGCGCTCACGCGACCCTCTCCTCTTTTCCTAACTTTTCCCCATCCTCACCCCTACTTCCTCCTCTCCCTCTCACCTCTACTCTTCACCAAGGCAATACCTTTTGGTACGCTTTACTATTCAATCACTGTATCACTGTATTACTACTGAAAATACTACGAATTCGTGTAATTGGCCAGTTAACTGATTAAAACTAATCGTGGCTTGAATTTCCGAGATTTTTATTTTTCAGTTTTCTGAAAGATTTAGCAATTATTTGTAGAGTATAATCAGAAGGCGATTGCAAATCAATCATTAATTTGGTTTCCCCCTATTCATTCGTTGCGTTGAAACTGTCGACGACGATTGCGATCCAAACAACAAATATGCAGAAAAATATCCGGAAATATTCGATTCCATATGTGGCTGTTTATCAATTTCGTTCGAGTCTACACCGGATTCGATGATGTCCTTCCGTCTTTCCGAATAAGCAAAGTGTAAAAGCGCTAGGTAACCCAATATGATCGAAATTCATTTTTGGTGTTAGCCACGTGAAATTTTTCTTGTAATCCGTTCGTTTGTCTATAACAGCGTTTCTCAACCTCTAACAAATCGTCGACCCCTTCAACGTAGTATCGCCCCTTGGCTTCATAATTCCGATGCCCAGGGCCGAGGCTAATGCCAAATTCGTACTGCATCGAATAGACTAGTGACTAGTATAATGTTATTTGTTTAATTATTGTACGATATAACGAAAAAAATATCTAATTATTCTTAATATAATGTTTTACTATATCGCCCAGAAAATTGTTTTTCGCCCCCAAAATATAAATTGTTACTAATCGCCCCCTCAACATGGAAAAACGACCACACGGGGACGATATCGCCCCCGTTGAGAAACACTGGTCTATAACATCAGACACGAGTTTATTGTTCTCGTCGTGTATATTTGTACTCCTAGAATGGCGTACGTTAACCATACGTAAAGACAGATTAAGAGTACTTTAAGTACAGATCCGACAGACAAAAGAACCGCTTTTGTAATGATTTGCAGTTTTATCCATTGAGCGGTACGCTCAATGGATAAAACTGAATAGATTTCAAAATTCTCGGTAGTCGAAATACACGAACCGTGACGAGTCGAGTTCCAAATATTCGTTTGAAAAACATACTTACGATGGAAAGTAACATTATACAAAAATCAAAAAGTAGAAAACTCGAAGTGTATTTGTCCGGAGCGTATATTCCCGCAATTGTTTCTATAATAAAAAGCACGGTAAAACGGTTACTTGTCGTTTCTACAACGAGTGAGAGTTTTGAATCTGCTTCTAGAGACGAAAGAGGAAGGCGTACCGACAACGATGGTGATCAAACTCAGAATTTCAATGCATTTACTTTCGGTATCCGATTACAGTATATCAAAAAACGACGAAATGTTTCCGACAACTAAACCTCGAAAAACCTTTCAATACGCAGCCTTTTTCATTAACTTTTCGAACACTTTCGATCATTTCAATCATCTCGACTCTAATGACCGAAAGCGTTTGATTAATAAAAAGATCGCGCATTAAAAGGTTTTTTCGAGGTTTAGTTGTTTTTATTAAGCGCAGTTAGGAAAGAGTATCGGACATTCCGTAGTGTTCCCAATACTACAGTAAAGAATCTGAAAGTCTCTGTCACCAGACTACGAACGAAAGAGTAACATTTCATTCGCGCTTGTCTCCAATAACTCAATTTCTCGAGCATCTTATATTCTACCGATGAATGCTCGTAATCGATTATCTCTTCCAAATTCTTTTCAGATAACTGTTGTCGAACATCTACGATAACTGATATCTTTCTGCTAAATATTTTTAGAAGCTTTGGTATATTTAAGTTTAACGGAAAAATGTTCCATTTTCCGAAAATATTCTACGTTTCCTTTAATTTCGGAATTCTCCCTTTCTTCTTCCAAAATATCTCGATACGAACCGGCCACGACAGCGAGCATTATTCAAAATAAAATAAATTCCAAAAAAATACGAGTGGAAAGAAAAAAAAATACCGAATGAACCCGCTGTGTAAAAGATATTTTTGTAAATTTTTTCCCAGTCGTCTAGAGGAAAAACGCAGAGAAAAAAGGTATCGAAATTCAGTAGGCGATCTGGTCGATTTATGCCAGCATCTTTCGGACAGGTGTCTATATCCTGTTATATTTCCCCAACTCGTAGAATGCCCCTCGTCGTCCGACAACCAATACGATTTGTTTTGAATACTAGAACAAATGAATGGATTGTTTTCGCAAACACATTTTTGTAAAAGGACCCCATAAACAACTCTTTTGTCACAGGACTGGTAGTTATTACGTAAAGAATTGTAAGTAATGCGATAGCAACCCTAGCTCTAATGGCCGGTAGCATTCTCGTGGCCGTATGATCGAAATTATCTTCAGAATTATAATTGCTCTCGGCGGTTTTACTTCATTCGGATATTCATTCCGATAGTTAAAGACGTTTAAACCGAATGTAACGGTAGCGATTACAATCGTAACAAAATCGAACCATTGGAAAGGAAATCTTATGGATAAATAAGCGAAATTTCCTACGACAAATCTACGAGCGATGCGATAGAGCATTACTTCAAAAATATAAATTGACGCAAATAAATAATTCAAACTGTAATCAGATTTGCGCGCCAATAAAATGCAATTATAAATAACAGTCGGGATAACGAATCTGTCGAAAATCTTGCGAGTTACGATATAGCGAGCCATTCTTCTGATCCAAACAGATACAGCGATTTCTCTTTGTTGAATCTTAGACATAATCTTTGCCAAATTTACGGGAGATTACGCAGAATGTCCCAGTGGGCGAGAGGTCAACGTCTTCTGGTATAACTCCTCTCGCATCCAGAAGACGAATCGCGACATCTTTCGCACTTTGACTGTCGTTTACTTGTAAATTCTTGTTTAGACGTGTCCATTTCTTTATTTTTTCCAAATTATCCAAATAAAAGTTGTAGCGTAACCGCCGAATTCGAAATTATTCTAATCGATTTTCCCACATTCAAAATTTAGAAATACGTTTTAACGCGTTTCGAAGTTTTTCGTCGTCTAGAATTTCAAATATTAATTTTCCTAATAAAAATAATTTTTTAAATAATTAATTACGTTTTAAAAAGTTGTTAGGTATTTATTCAATATTTAAGACGTGGAAGATTAATAAAATGAATAATTTTAAATATATGTTTATTCTAATAATGCCTCTTATCGAAACAACCTAGTCTTAGAAATTTTCTTTTAAATTTATTTAGAAACAAATGCTTTTATAAAATTTTATTAGACATTTCATCGAAACTTTTTTAAAGGAATAATATCTAAAACGGTGGTTCTGAAAGTCTGTAAACCGCTGGTAGTCCACCGTAATGGATCAAATGGTTGTAACATGTTTCGTACAATATACATCCGTAAGTACACTAAATAATTCATTTGTCAACGGTAATAAAAGTTATTTGTTATTGAATGTATTCTCGTGTATAAAATGTACCGAGTGTAACGGGTTTTTATAATTGAAGTTTTGTATGTAAAAACAATGTCGTAGTGTAGAAAGAGGTCAAATAGTCAAATGAGGTGGTGACAAACGTGCAAAAATATATAGTGTCCGTGTAAAATCGGAGCATTTTTTCTGAATTACACTATATTTGTTACGTATTCTATTTTATTTTAAAATTAAAATATAATTTTTTTTTAAATTATATATAAGCAAATAGTTACAAATTGGATACAACCGGTAATTGCTATTCACTATACACATATTACAATATCCATATACTGTACAGTACCTCCCAACAATTTACTTTTTCCTTTTCCTATAATAAATAATTATTTTTTAACCATTAAATTGAAACTATAGGAATAATTTATTAAATTAAAATTTACAAAAGTCATTTATTTTTTCATATTTTTATACAAAAAATTTCTTTAAGAAAATAACTCGAAGTTAAGACAGTTTTAAATCTGTTTCTACAAATTATACAGTATTATTTAACAATAACATATTAAACTCGCCCAACACACTCGATGTTTTGTTAATAGGAACAGAGTCCATCAAACTATTTCGGTGTTCTCTTCATAAATTTTTACTAACCGGGTTGAACGAAGTAGCCGAGTGAACCAAAGATTGTTGTATGAGACTAATCGGGGGGTAGGATGTTTACGAGTTCTTGACTCTCCTACCTCTTACTCGACTCAAGACCTTGAGGTCCGGTCTCGCTTGTCTGAAGGATGGATATTTCTCGAGCGAAGGGTTACGTAAGGATCGTGAAATCCTTAGTTTACGTCAGGATCTGACGCCAATATATCAATTTATCGCGGATAGATACGCGGTTAATTTGAGGGGGAGGAATTTTCACGAGCGATCTCGTCGAGGACTTCCGGTGCAATATGGAGTGGATAATGTCGGAAGAAATGCACACCAATCCAAGTTCGTTAACAAAGTACCCGTTTATTAGTAGCCTATACATTTTTTCATAGATAATTCTTGGAATACAAATCCCTCTCGGGGGTTCAGTCCGTATAGTTCATAAGTAGCGGGCAAAATATAAATTAGTCGCGATCCTAACCGCGAGTTTGGAATAGTCGAATAGCGAGAGAGAGCTTACATATCATCGCGAGTAGAATAAATACCTCGAGTTAAACCGTGGATGTAGTTTCTTGTTCTCCTGGGTTCGGAATATAGTCCAAGGTTCAAAGTCCAAGTTCAAGTCGTAATCAAAGTCAGAATTGTAAAGTCTATTGAAGACGGTGGCGACGAGAGGCAGGTAATCCACACACACACAGTATAGAAAATAACTTTTTCCCCCTTGTGTCGTCATCCTACTTGTCTTTTATATGGGGCTCTCTTTTCGAGATTTCTCCATGTACGTCACATCTTCGTTGACCAATGGGGGCGAAGTGACAAACTTATGACACAACGGTTAACTCATCCTCTACAGGGAAGTATCCCCGTGGGAACAGAATTTTATGAGAAAATTTGTCGGTTGTTTTTCTCGTTTGGAGTTAACCCTAACTTTTAATCTAACTTTTAACCTAATGAATAAAAATATTCGAATCTTAAATCCGGGCCCTCACATCTGCGTAATATTATAAAATTCTGTTATTTGTAAATACGATTCTTCTTTCTCTATAAACACACATACGATGTGTATGTAGGCCTATATATTTACATGTTCGGATTGATTAGGACAATGTTGGTCACAAGTCCTAATTGATCTCCAAATTTTTCATTTCTTCGTTACTTGTCGGTCGCGTTTTTTACTCGAACGATTACTCAATCATTTATTTCATCAGTTGAAAGTAAAAACACGGAAAATATCCTTACTTGAAATAAATATTAATAGCGCAAATAATGATGACCTTATTATGTATAGTATAATGTTATATAATATAATTTGTTTGTATGTATAATACAATTTTAATGTATAATGAATTGACGTGATAGCAATCATAGCACAATTTAATAATTCGCTATTATGTCAGTTTTGTTCCTTGTCATTTATTTATCATAAACCTGGTTTTGAGGTCTAAATAAAAGCTTTTTTATTCTTATAATAAAATTCATATAGAAAATCATGAAATCGAACTCGAAGGTTATATATCTTTCAATAAATGACATTGGACCTCACTGCGATTCGATCTCGTCACGCTCTCGTAGTGAATGCAATGTCCCTAGTGGTAATATTTTCTCTAGTTGATTTTAGCAAATATCGAAGATTGGTAGTCGAAAGACCAGGTAATCTACCGGCTCTAATAAGAATGAAATTCAATAATAAACGAAAAATAACAATAGAGGTTTATTGTTAGAATGTATTCTTCACGAAGAGAACTTTCGCTCGCAATGCTTCAATTTGTAATTTTAATTTTATTTTTTACTTCTCGACAAATGCTGTCAAAGGCTTCACCAATTTATTATAGACACTTGGATCCAGTCAAACACAGGACAGAAGACAAAAACTATGCTAGTATGTTCCGTGCGAGACAAAGTCCCAAAGAATTTCAAACATTTTCCAAAGATTACAGCTACATACCGTATTTGTATCGACTGTTGTCACGTTTAACGACCAAAGGTGATATAGGCAATATAACACCCGAAAGAGAATTCCCAATGACAAAAATAACGACAGAAGCCAATTATCCATCAAAGACACAAACAGATTGGCTGAAACTAGAGTTGGAAAGGCTAAGAGATAAAAAACTAAAAGAATTACAAGATCTCGAGAACCAAAGCATGGACGAGTTTGTATCAACTAAATCTATTGGAATAGATATTGATACAACTAAATCGGAACTATCGCCTACCCGAATTATATACGGCTTTCTAATTATCTCTATTATAATAGTTTGTGCAACATTCGTCCAGTTGTGTAGAAGATTCTCCTCTGAACTGATTTGTTCGCCAAATCCAATCAGAAAATCTATTGCACAGAAACCAACACCATCAGAATTGGCGGAAACAACTTCAATAATACAGGAGACTAGAAAAGAAAGTATTTCAACAAGTATATCGTCACTTAATTCAGAAAATTCGTTCATAAATGTTAAAAGGAAGATCGAAGATTTGAACAAAGAAGAAACCGAACAGTTGATCACCTTCCTTACCTCTTACTATAAACCGGAACCATAGATAATTTTTAATAATCGATAGCGATTCATTAAAAATTTGGAGACTTATAAATGAAATAATTCTGAAGACTTATTCGAAAACTGCTTGTGAGAACATTCTCCTCAACTCTATATTTTGAAAAACTAAATGACCTGCGATACAGTCACGTGATTATAACGCCATCGCTCCACCCAACAAAACAATACCTGTTGCTGAACCCACGCCACTCTGTTCGTTCGCTCCACCATGTCAACGTGGAAGAAAAGCATCCCACCTGTCTATGCAGCCTACCCAAAAGACAATGATTTGATAGAACACAAAGAGAAACGTCTCCTACTGAATGGGAACCATATGAAATGAAACCAGCGGACACTTTCAACTACTCGGCTCACTATAGAACACGGAAACAGCAAACTATTGAAACAGAAAACTGGAAAATATTGTAGAGAAATACAGAGAAAATCTGCCACCAACGGAAACAGAATTCGAAGATCAATCGGAAGAATTGGATATTCTTTGCGAAATGATCAGGAAAGGCTTTGATACAAAAAGATTTTTCGAAATTCGAGGGTTCTGTTGCCTCTGCGTCAAGAAATTTGGAAGAGAATACATTTGTTTACATGCTAACAGACAGTTTGCGGTGTATGGAACTGAGTTAAATATAAATTTACTCTAAGTAGAACAAAAGTAAAGATTTGGGCAGTTTTTTTTACGATTCGTTTTCACATGGGTGCGAGAAAGAATTCGACGGTTGGACGAAATTAGAGAAACACAAAGCTAAAACCGAAAGTGGACAAAAGTTTCTAGAACTGATTATGAATCGCCAATTACATCTCGTTATTTTTGTGAAGAAAAACAGTTATTTTTCTTATTCTAAATTTCGTTTTTTCAAGACATTTTACTTATAGTCTGCATCAGTTTTGAAGAAACTTTTTAATATATTAACGACATTAAATATACAATTTTTATGAAATATAACCAAGATTGCCAAAATTGTAATGAAGTATTTAAATTACTTTAATAAGCAGCTAAATATCGGATATTTTAATAAATACTTTTTGTGTAAAATATTTTATGGGAGAAAGAATGTTCGACTGGAAGAAATCAAATTCTCTTTCCCAAGCTTTTTGAATTGTTTTTATGGTTATGTCTTTTATATAAAACTCTTTTATACGTGACTAACTCAAATTTATCTACTTAAAATGAAGTATCTCAAATTAAATTGGAAGGATTTATTAACGCAAGATATTAAGTCTTACGTGTTAATGCTACCAATAATTTAATTTATTTTTGTATAGATTTAATATGTTAGTGACTTATTTCTATTCTATCGCCATTGTAAATGTTTTAAAGTTCGAACAAATAAATTTTAATTTTATTTTGTGTGTGTTAATGTAAAGGGTTTAAGCCCTTGTATTTTGGGTATCATCAAGTTTATTCTATCGAATAATCAGTAAATACAGTATAGTTACTAGTCACATTACTTTCATTGTTTTGCAGAAAGATGTAAACATCTTGCTCCAAAATTTCTGAATACTCTCTAATGGGACGTTATAGCATAAAAACAAATAAGTACAGTGTCGGTTTAAAGTAAGGTCATATGACCTCCGAAATCTGTTCGTTAACACTTTTTGTCTAGTTAATATTTTATTACAATTTAAATAGAAGATTTGTTATACAACAGTCAGTAGAGTGAAGATAAAAAAATATGAACGTCTACAGGAGGTCAAATGGCCTTGCATTGACTGGAAGCCATCCCACGAAGGGGCTATTTATTTTATAATCCGCTGTAATTAATTACACGTGCTCATTTAATTACATGTTTTTACAGCACGTGTCGTCCACTGTGACTCGTAAAAATGACACTTTCAGATTAAAGTACATGTGTGACGCAGTAAACAAGTAAACAATAGATCAACATCGAATTAAATACGGTAATACCACGACTTACGCTACCCCGACTTACGCGAACCCGGAGTTACGCGATTTNCACAGAAACCAACACCATCAGAATTGGCGGAAACAACTTCAATAATACAGGAGACTAGAAAAGAAAGTATTTCAACAAGTATATCGTCACTTAATTCAGAAAATTCGTTCATAAATGTTAAAAGGAAGATCGAAGATTTGAACAAAGAAGAAACCGAACAGTTGATCACCTTCCTTACCTCTTACTATAAACCGGAACCATAGATAATTTTTAATAATCGATAGCGATTCATTAAAAATTTGGAGACTTATAAATGAAATAAGTCTGAAGACTTATTCGAAAACTGCTTGTGAGAACATTCTCCTCAACTCTATATTTTGAAAAACTAAATGACCTGCGATACAGTCACGTGATTATAACGCCATCGCTCCATCCAACAAAACAATACCTGTTGCTGAACCCACGCCACTCTGTTCGTTCGCTCCACCATGTCAACGTGGAAGAAAAGCATCCCACCTGTCTATGCAGCCTACCCAAAAGACAATGATTTGATAGAACACAAAGAGAAAACGTCTTCTACTGAATGGGAACCATACGAAATGAAACCAGCGGACACTTTCAACTACTCGGCTCACTATAGAACACGGAAACAGCAAACTATCGAAACAGAAAACTGGAAAATATTGTAGAGAAATACAGAGAAAATCTGCCACCAACGGAAACAGAATTCGAAGATCAATCGGAAGAATTGGATATTCTTTGCGAAACGATCAGGAAAGACTTTGATACAAAAAGATTTTTCGAAATTCGAGGGTTCTGTTGCCTCTGCGTCAAGAAATTTGGAAGAGAATACATTTGTTTACATGCTAACAGACAGTTTGCGGTGTATGGAACTGAGTTAAATATAAATTTACTCTAAGTAGAACAAAAGTAAAGATTTGGGCAGTTTTTTTTACGATTCGTTTTCACATGGGTGCGAGAAAGAATTCGACGGTTGGACGAAATTAGAGAAACACAAAGCTAAAACCGAAAGTGGACAAAAGTTTCCAGAACTGATTATGAATCGCCAATTACATCTCGTTATTTTTGTGAAGAAAAACAGTTATTTTTCTTATTCTAAATTTCGTTTTTTGAAGACATTTTACTTATAGTCTGCATCAGTTTTGAAGAAACTTTTTAATATATTAACGATATTAAATATACAATTTTTATGAAATATAACCAAGATTGCCAAAATTGTAATGAAGTATTTAAATTACTTTAATAAGCAACTAAATATCGGATATTTTATTAAATACTTTTTGTGTAAAATATTCTATGGGAGAAAGAATGTTCGACTGGAAGAAATAAAATCCTCTTTCAAAGTTTTTTGAATTGTTTTTATGGTTATGTCTTTTATATAAAACTCTTTTATACGTGACTAACTCAAATTTATCTACTTAAAATAAAGTATCTCAAATTAAATTGGAAGGATTTATTAACGCAAGATATTAAGGCTTACGTGTTAAATGCTACCAATAATTTAATTTATTTTTGTATAGATTTAATATGTTAGTGACTTATTTCTATTCTATCGCCATTGTAAATGTTTTAAAAATATTTTAAAGTTCGAACAAATAAATTTTAATTTTATTTTGTGTGTGTGTTAATGTAAAGGGTTTAAGCCCTTGTATTTTGGGTATCATCAAGTTTATTCTATCGAATAATCAGTAAATACAGTATAGTTACTAGTCACATTACTTTCATTGTTTTGCAGAAAGATGTAAACATCTTGCTCCAAAATTTCTGAATACTCTCTAATGGGACGTTATAGCATAAAAACAAATAAGTACAGTGTCGGTTTAAAGTAAGGTCATATGACCTCCGAAATCTGTTCGTTAACACTTTTTGTCTAGTTAATATTTTATTACAATTTAAATAGAAGATTTGTTATACAACAGTCAGTAGAGTGAAGATAAAAAAATATGAACGTCTACAGGAGGTCGGATGGCCTTGCATTGACTGGAAGCCATCCCACGAAGGGGCTATTTATTTTATAATCCGCTGTAATTAATTACACGTGCTCATTTAATTACATGTTTTTACAGCACGTGTCGTCCACTGTGACTCGTAAAAATGACACTTTCAGGTTAAAGTACATGTGTGACGCAGTAAACAAGTAAACAATAGATCAACATCGAATTAAATACGGTAATACCACGACTTACGCTACCCCGACTTACGCGAACCCGGAGTTACGCGATTTTCAAATCTCGTCGATTCGTCTTTTGTTTGAGCGCCACCCAGCTCTCGATTACTCATTCCCCCCCACACTATTATTCAGCTTAAAGAATCGTTTTCCAGAATTTAATAGGTTTTTCCTTCATTTTCTGTGGTTTCGTGGATATCCTTGGCCTTTTTATTATCCTTTTTATTGCCATCGATAATTGATTTCTTTTAAGAAAAGGGATCAATTATTTATGACAATGAAAAGATAATAAAAAGAATCACTACTTTTAAGTTTTTAATTTGTGTATGAATGATGATCCGCATAGTCTTGCCAGTAATTTCAACTGCGCTTTACTAGTTTCTTTCATTTGTTTTTGTAATATGTAATATACTTCTCATTATAATGCTAGATATATTCCATTTTTTCCGAGATAGTTGGCATAACACAAAACATTGTGTGCGTATCGTAACACAAATACCGTAGTTTGTATTTTATATATTTATAGCGGAGTGCATTTGAAAGAGACCGTGTGTAGAAGTAAATTAATCACATAGTCTCTGCGAGTAATTGATGATTCTGTTTTTCATTCGATGTCTTCACTATCGTGTTTATTAGCTTTTTCTTAAAGTATTACTTAACTAATATTCGACTAGATGCTTCTTAAAATAATATAAAAATAAATAATAATAATGTTTTTAAAAAATGTTTTCGAGCTTAACTTAAAAGTGAAATTCTATTTACACATCAAATCTGTTTTCCAGAAATGTAGAATGTTCGGCATTAACAAGTCGGACAGTAGCGTACGGTTAATTAGCAAACTGCGGGTAGTACCCGACGTATGATGAAATTTTATTTGTATTGTAGGTCGAGCGTAAAAATAATGATGATAATTGGGTACAGTTCTAAACACTGCACGCGAGTTTATATATACTGTAGTAATAAGTTAAGGGCCGTAATACAACGAAGCGATTCTATTCGGGTGTATCGAACTTTAAACAAAACATTATTATTTTCATTAATTGGTAATTTTACTAACAAAAATTCACTGAAATGCGAGTAATTATTCGCATTAAAAAAACGAGAGTTTGATCATTTTAGCCTACCGTTGTCGCGTTTATCGCCATACTGGAACTGCACGAAACGGCACGCTTTCGATGTTCGAGTAGACAGGAATTGAAAATATATCTTAAATTTTTCCAATATATATACAGTCGACCCCCCTATAACACTGTTGATAATTCCGTTTTATATGAATTCCATGTTGTACGAGTCACTTAGATTTTACAAATACGTGTGCCGGGCTTTATCGATATTTTTTGTATTTAGTTCGGGAGTGGGAGCTTCTCGTCACCCACCCGAAAGATTTTCGGATACTTTAATTAATTTACAGCAAAATTAGTAATAGCGCGTGCCAAACTGTTTATATCCGGATTTTAAAACGCGGAACGCCAGTGGAATTCGGTTGGTAAACGGAAAACGGCTTTACCTCTTTATCGTTTAGTACTTAGATCGACCGTCGGACGTCGCTTCGAGTATATCTCAAAACGTTCCGGAATATATTCCGACGAAAGGAAATTAGTGGTAAAAATCGGGCGAATTCTTTTTAAGACTAAAACAGAAAATAAAACTTTTCGACTAGGCGCCCGCTAAGTATAAGAAAGCGGGTTTTGGCCGAGAGGAGGCGCCGCGGTGGTACGTGACGTAGGCGGATCGGTAGACGCCACTTCTTCGGCAGGGAGACGATAGGTTTTGCCGCGTGGCGGAAGCGACGGGTCCGAAGGCGGGCCCGATTCATTCGACTCTCCGGCACAATTTACCAGAATCGAACGGTAGAAGATGGAGACGAAGTACAACATGAAGAGTCCGGGTAAGGTTCTTCCTTTCCGACGACGGGCGTTGGGGTAGAGGGGAATCGACGGTCAAAGGCAAAAAGGATTCCTCCTCCGTCCGGTCGATAAACGCGGCGTACGCGTCGGATGTCGGTCGTCGAACTAGGACGTTCGATTCCTAGGCGCCCTCTTCCCCGGCGGGGTCGGACGGAAGGTGGCTCCGCCTGGGGTTAAGCGCCGTCCGAAGTCGGGCCGGTAGGCGCCCGACACCGAGATTTGCGTCGTTTATTGTAATAACGGAAAGGAGACGTCGGACGGATCGTCAGAGTCGGATTCCGGCCTCTCCACTATTTTCTGGGCTTTAATTCGGACGCTACATTACTCGTTTAGTAAATTCTGCCGTGCCGAAAATTTCAATTTCCTACGGGTAAAACGCGCGGCTCCGATGGGAAGCCGACCGCCACGTAAGCGCGTAAATACTCGGAAAGAGAATTTACTTCCGTCAAAACGACGATTTCGCCTTCGCGCGTCGACGAAAACATTTACGTAAAAGCTATTCCTAAGGCCGTTCCGGCCATAGGAATAGCTTTTACGTAAATGTTTTCGTCGACGCGCGAAGGCGAAATCGTCTAATGGGTAAAAACTGCTCGGAGTAAATTGAAAACCAAAAATACAAACACTTCCGCCCGATACTTTAACTTTTTCCAAAATTTGTTGCGGCGCCGGTTTTTGCTAATACGTTCGTTTCCCCAGACTAAAAACGAAACGAGAAACCGACGACGAGTCCGTAAAATGCCGAGTTTTTCCCCGCGGAAATTTTCCTTACCGCTTAAAATAGTTAAGTTCTACCGTACTTTCCCAATTATAATTTATATTTATGGACGTCGACCGGGGGCGGATCTACGTGGAGACTAATAGGGCTTAAGTCCCGGGCCCGCAAAAATTGTATTATTATGGTAAATTTTTAATACTTTTCGTTAACGATGAACGGTTATCGTATAGTAAAAAATAGTTAATAGGTTAGATTTGGTAAAAATAGGCTTGGAGGGCCCAAGAAATATATATTCGAAGCAAAATGTTCTATCACCACCAACTGAAATTGAAACCATTGCTTTACAAAAAAATGATATAAATAGAGACTGGGCTCTACCTGGATGAAATACAACCAAATCAATCAAGATAGACTACCAGTACTTTATCTGCACTTTCTGAAATATTATGTGTCAATCGATTGCTTTATTTTAAATTTAAATTAAGTTTGATTTTTTTGTTTAGTTTGTTTCAGTTTCAGTGTAAAAACCAGATATTTTAATTATTATTTTGTTATTTTTAGTTGTAATTAACTGGATACCTAGTATTAATAAATATTAAATTAAATATTGATGTTATAATATATAATATTATATTAATAAATTTTTGTTATTTAATTTGAGTTAAGCGCCTTTAAACACAGATTGGTGGATGTCGTTTATATTACGCAAATGTCAATTAGCGCAGTTTTTTATTAAAATTAATTTGATTCAAATTCGGCTGCGTGCGTACCAAAAAAGGGAAGTAGTATCTTATTGGCATATGCATCGAAATCTAATTTGAATAACGTCGTCCATGGTTCGTGTCGTGACGTCTGACGACGCCGGGCAATCCCGATGCCTCTAACTATTGAATCGGTATTCCCGTCGTCGATTGGTCTAGCTGTAGACTTTCTTTAACGCGGGAAGTATACGGAGTTGACTCTCCGTGTCTCTCTAATCTGTGGCTGGCTCTTGCCGAGTAGTTTGTTCCGCAACCGAGTAAAACGACCGGGGCAAACGTTGTTTGGTGTTGAAAATTTTGTTTGCAAACTGAATTGTTCGAAAAGTGAGGTGTTCAAAATTTGAGGTTTGACTGTATTAATATTAGTGGAAACAAAGCCCAATTTAATCTGGCAATCAAATGGCTTTGTTCTGCATAGAATGTACTTTCGTGGTTTGAACGCAACATACACCGTAGCATAAACTAGTTGTTTAGAATATAACTACGCACCGGGGCTGTGGAGTTGCAGTCGTCAAAAATTCCCTTAATCCGACTCTTTAACTTTTCCAACTTATTATGTATATACAAAACTAAAAAGTATTTGAATCGTGCCACATTTGACCCTCTGAGTTTTTGCAAATCTATACGTTCGGAGATCTCTCAAACCCAAAAAATGTCAAATAAGGGAAAAAATTAATGCGCATGTGCGCATATGTTGGTGTCTAATTTGTTTAATTTTTTTCAATGGTCACAGTTTCTGTTCTGAAATATTAAACAATATCTCAGAATGACTAAAGTTTAAGAAACAAAATTTGGAACAGCATGTGTATAAAGGGCATTAATGCTATTAAATTTTGGTTCTTAATTAAAGGTTGACAAGATAGAGACATAGAAGGGGTCGTGTTTCATATCTCCAGTGTGGTTTGACTTTATGAATATTTTACTCGTTATTCGCATTCACAGTCTTATTATTATTTTTTTTTTAACCCATCTTGATTATAAGCTCAGAGTTCAAATGGTTAGGAGTTGAAAGTTGAAATTTGGTACACAGTTAGGATATGTCATAAGAATATACACTAAGAAGGGATTTTTTGAAATTTTTCTCGCAGAGCAGAGGGAGAGGGTTAAGGATTACCCTGAAGAATGCTTCTATTGTATAGTTTAGATGCAGTTTTTTTGCATTTTTGTGGAAAATCGAACATACTTGTAGACCCACCTAAAAATTCTCTAATTAGTCTCAGAAGAGGGGGACCTAATTCTTGCACCCAGTAAAAACGAGTAAGATCACTATAATCTAATAATTTTAATCTTCATTATCATTACTTTTTGTCCAAACAACATCTGGTTCATCTGCTAGTTTTTTCATAAAACTCGTCTCTACCCTCAAAATTAACCCTCCTGCCAGGAGGTGGACTATCAGGACACATGTCACAAGGCCAAAAAATCTGTTTTTCCCTTGACAAAATCAGGTTTGTTTGGTTTAAATAAATAAATACATGATAAAGTAAATATGTATATTTACAAAAGTTACAAAATTGTGTTTAATTAAGAACAAATTTTTTTTGTATTTACAAAATTACAATTACAATTTTTTAAATTAGGAACAAATATTTTATTTCTATTTATTTAATCATATGCATAACAGACAAGTCACTTTCTTGTATTCACCACAAATACTTTTCTTTCAGTTGGTACATAGGTGATTCCCTCTTCGATTCTTTTTCCATCCACAAAAAGAACATTTTCACGGTTTTGCCGATATGGATGGATTTAGTGATGATGCATCTTCGGGCATTTCTATTCCTAGGATGTTGCACATTTTTTCTATCAATGTTTTACTAATGTGGGGATATGTCATCCTTTCCTTCATGTGTGGTGTAACCAGTGAAAAAGAAAGTTTCTTCAAAAACTCAGCCTGGCAGGTGTTGCTTCTATATTCTTGTGGCATATTTAGCTTGTAGATTGCATAGGCATTTACTGCTGCTGCATCTAAAATGCCCTAGAAGTATCACATAGGCCAGCGATTTGTCATTCTTTTGACAGAATTTGCATGACATAACTTATCAAAAACATCCACACCCCTTCAGTCATATTATAAAATTCAACTACGGTAGGTTTTTTGGTTATTTGGTCAATTTCACCAGTGTAATGCACAAATGATATGAGGACTACAGTTTTATTTTTCTTCGGACAGAAAGAAACAAGCATCTTCAGATCATCATACAGAAATTTTGAAGAATTCTGATTATGAACATAAATTATCATAACAATTCTTGATCTATTGTCGTAACAATTCTTGATGAATTCCTTTGTCCATAGTAAACCGTTGATATTCTGCTATAGTAATTTGCCAGACAACAGTAGATAATCAAGAAATAGCTCTTTAGGCTCTTGCTACATGATGAAAGAAGATAATGTACATCACAAGGGGGTGTCGTATCCGACACTGAATTACAACCTAAATTATGAGAAAAATTGAAGGTAGACTTATTTTTCCACGCTGCTGTCTTCAGAACTACTGCTTCATAGGGTCATTTATGGTCACAACCCCCAACAATAGCGTTGTTTCCTGTGCAAACGAAAAAAAACAAGACGTGTTGGATCCGACACTGCCTTGTGTTAGGAGGGTTAAGAAAAGAAAGTACAGACAGAAAAGGAAATCTTAAAAAATTTGAAGATGATATTTATTATGCACTGAAAAAAATAAATCACATTGATCACTTTTCAAGTTTGGATGTTAAAACAGCAATACTGCACTATCCAGACATTATCCAAGATACAACATTGATTGTCACAGCATTGTCACCAACCAGGTTTCAGTAGAGCATTTATTTTCTGCTCTTAAAATTATTAAATATGATTTAAGAGCTTCAGTGAATGCTGACTTAATAGAATTGATTCTTTTTGTAAGGAGTAATTCAGATAACAGAGATGAAAAATAATAAATTAATCAACCTGGCAAAATAAGCAATCTTTTTCTTTACCAGTCTAAATGTTATATTTCTTATTCTTGGCTTAGTTTAATGTATCTGTATACTTACCCAATATACTTGTATATTATGTACTGTACTGTACATACAATATTTTTATGAAACTAATTTGTGTTTGTACAAATGTATTTACTATTTTTATTCATACATGCTTACTAAATACCATTGCCACCATCAAATGAGTCAATAAATGAGAATTTATGTATTCAGTAGATGTGTCAAATTTTAATGTTTAAAACAATTTTAAAAAATTAATTATTTTGTATTTGTTAAAATAATCAGAATTGTTGTCATTATTACTTTCCTGGCAGTTATACAGTATAGGCCTATAACAAAGGAAAAGAATGACAATCAAAAAATGACTTTTCCAGATTTTTTCTTTTGGACTTGGGAAGCCTCAAAATGTAGAAAAGTGCAAAATCATTTGGGTTTTGTTTTGTATGCATGGATGTTAGAATACGTACCAAATGATTTAGTTCAGCCATTTTGAAGCTTAATAACTTAATAGCTGTGTTTAAACCATCCGACTCTGATTCAAAATCATACTCCCCCGTACAATCTAACATTCACACATACATAAAAAATCCTGAATCTTTTGCATATCTCAACATTTCGAGGAGTCCTGAGTCCAAAATTGTAAAAATTTGGGCTGGGATCATATTTTGACCGATCGCTACACTTTTTTTCTGCTATATATAACAGCCAGGAAAGTAAAAATTATCAAATACATATTTATATATTGACTATGTCATTACTTAGAGGAATCTTTTAGCTTTGGAATAAAAAAGTTTTTATGTTTTATCTTTATTAGAACTACGAGGGCTGTTCGGAAAGTTCGCAGCCTTGCCTATATGCGGCGCTGCGATCAATTTAATTTTGGGCGGGAATAATTCAGCCATCTTTGCTAAAGATACGATACCAATTTCCGCTTGATTTGTCAAAAAGTTTTGCCACGACAGCTTAGCAGATAGTCAGTGTGCACATGCTTTGTCAAAAATGGAGAAGACGGAGACTCGTGCGGTCATAAAATACCTGACGAAAAAAGGGTTGACCCCATCTCAAATCAAAGCTGACATGGATGAAGTTTTAGGAGAGTCTGCTCCTTCGTACACCACTGTGAAAAAATGGACAGCCCTTTTTAAATCTGGCAAAGAAAGTGTGGAAGATGACCCTCGCAGCGGACAGCCGTCAACTGCTGTCACTGAAGAAAACATTGACAAAGTTCATGATTTGGTATTAGCAGATCGCCGTTTGAAAACGCGTGAGATAGCTGAGACAACAGGCATCTCTGTCGACCGAGTGCACCACATCCTAACTGAAGATTTGGGTATGACGAAGGTCTCAGCAAGGTGGGTGCCGCATCTGCTGACCGCCAAGCAAAAACGTGTTCGCACTTTGATGTCAAAGGAGTGTTTGGACTTCTACCAGAAAAACCCACAGGATTTCTTGCGTCGGTTTGTGACTACTGACGAAACGTGGATCCATTACTACACTCCTGAAACAAAAGAACAGTCGAAGCAATGGAAACACCATAGTTCGCCACCACCAAAGAAGGCAAAGGCAGTTCCATCAGCGGGTTAAAGTGATGGCCTCGGTTTTTTGGGATGCTAAAGGCATCATCTTTATTGACTACCTAGAAAGAGGAAAGACCATTAATGCTGTCTATTACTGTGAACTTTTGGAAAAACTGAAGAAAGAAATCGAAGAAAAGAGGCCACACTTGAAGAAGAAAAAAGTTCTGTTCCATCACGATAATGCACCTGCACATTCCGCCAGAATCACTGAACAAAAGATAAATGAACTTCGCTTCCAATTAGTTCCACATCCACCGTACTCACCTGATTTGGTCCCCAGTGACTTCCACCTTTTTCCAAACCTAAAAAAATTCTTGGCTGGAAAGAGATTCCACTCAAATGATGAAGTCATCTCTGAAGTGAACGAGTATTTTGCACACCTTGAGAAATCGACCTATTGTGATGGCATAAAAAAGCTAGAACATCGCTGGAATAAGTGCATTGATAACAGAGGAGATTACATTGAAAACTAAAAAAAGTTTTAACATTATTTTGTTTGTTTTTCTATGTGAGGCCGCAAACTTTCCGAACAGCCCTCGTATATTTATTGAAGCTTATATTCTGAGGTCACGTGATGACGTCAGAATTTTCGTGCCTACTTTGTTTACAAGTCTGCCCTTGTTGGAGTTGGATGGTAAGGAAAAGTCAGTTGTGTAAAAATCTACTGATTCCACAGCCTTGCTACATACAGAATACTACAAAAACAGTAAAAGGAATAAAAATTATTTACTTATAATTTTTGTTAGAATTATGAATCAGTTCTACTAATGATGCATGTTCCAAGAAACTGTTACATGTGTTCTAATGTATTTAAGTTTTCTTCTATTATAGCGGGTTGTCAAAAATGAGATTTGTGAAAAAAAAGGCAAAGTTGGTTGATAACTTACAAATATAAGGAATTATTTTATTCATCAAAGTATGCACCCACATTGTCTATATACTTTTGCCATTTAAGCGGCAGGTTGTTCAGGCAGGTGGTATAAAACCTGGTGGACGAGAGTCAATGAATTTCTGGAAGGCCAGTTTTACAGCATTGTCGGAATTAAATTGTTTTCCTATTAAAAAGTTGTCCAAATTGCAAAAGAAGTGGTAGTCAGTGGGGGCTAGGTCTGGTGAGTAGGGAGGATGATGAAGAAGTTCCAACTCCAATTCCTGTAGTTTTGCCATAATCATTTGTGCAGTGTGTGGTCTAGCATTATCGTGCAATAAGATAGGAGTCAATCTGTTGACCAATCTAGGCTGTTTTTCTTTAAGTTTTTGCATCATTCGTCCAGTTGGTCGCAGTATATTTCTACTGTAATTGATGAGCCAGGTTTCGTGAAATCATAATGGATCACACTTTTGCTAGACCACCAAACACTTGCCATCAGCTTCTTTTGATGAATATTGTGCTTTGGAGTGTGTTTTGGTGATTTGTCCAACCACTGTGCTGAACATTTGCGATTGTCATATTGAATCCATTTCTCATCACAAGTGACAATTTGATTCAAAAACGCTCAGATTTGTGACGAGAAAGCAACATCAAGCAAGCTTCCAAACACTTTTGTTTCTGTTTTTCATTCAGTTCATGTGGAACCCATTTATTTAACTTTTTCACTTTACCGATTTGAGCTAAAAGAGTTAATATTGCTTGTTTGTTAACACCAAACTTCAACAATAATTCATAGGCACTCTGAGATGGGTCAGACTCAATGGTTGGCAATATTATTACTTACAAATTTCATCCTTGACGACCTAATATAAATTTGATAAGTGGCCTGAAGACAATCATTAAAAGATAGTCAAAAATATTTGCCTAGTGAATTAATCAATTTGCTGGAATTAAAAGATGGATTTACCTGTAGAATTGCTAAATTCCAGTTTGAGTTGATAAGCATTCTTTTAAATTAAAATAATTTTTAAATGATTTTGAAATTATTCAGTTTAAAATACTTTCATGGCATTTTATTATTTCTAGCTGTTAAAAGATTAATGAAGGAAGCAATGGAATTGAGAAATCCTACAGAAGAATATTATGCACAACCACTTGAAGTAAGTTTTGTTTGTCAATGCCGTATGGTTTGATACAGTCGACCCCCCTATAATTACGGTCCCTATAGTTACGATTCCTATAAAACTACGAAAAAATTGCTACCGGTATCCGTAAAAAATAGTAAAAGTTCCCTATAAACACCTCAAACGTCATCGGGAAGCCGAACTACTTTCCCGCCGTCCGTAGCGCCACGCTACGGAGAGATTTCTATCGTCTGGACAGTATTATATAAATTATATATAAATTAGGTACTGTACATATAATTATATATTAATTATATATAAATTAGGTACTGTATATATAATTATATATTAACTTATTGTAACTTTGTTATAATTAAATATATAATTTCCGCCGTCTAGCGTGGCGCCACGCTACGGAGATTTTTACGCTAACTATCGTCTGTCAGTATGTAAATTAGGTACCGTAAGTCTAATACAGTACTGTAATTTTATACATTTCTTGTGAAAGAAACATTTCTTATTCAACGGCGATTAAAATTATTTATATTAATGATGTCTCCGAAGTTCTACGAAGTTTTCACAGAAAAATAAGTTGTTAGAAATCGGCCGCTCTTTGCTGAGCTGTTCCGCGACGAAAACAATGTTGAGCAATGGCAATGTCGAATGGTGACACTCGGTAAGTAATCCTACAATTTTTTGTTTATAGCGTAGTTTATACGGATTATTCCCAAAAAATATATACGTATTTTGGAAATGTTGAGTCGGATTAGTCTAGAATCGATTAATTTTATGGAAGAAAATCTTTCAAACAGCCGTAGTCCGTAAACTTGATACGTGTCGGGTTGTGATTGGAAGGATTCGTAAGAAAGCGGATTCCTAGAGAATGGAACGTATCTCTATCTTATAGGGGGGTCGACTGTAATTGTATTATAATTCATTGTGTTCATGATAATTTTAATTTCATTTATTTATATTATTTATCTGAATAAGTATATTAATTTATCTAGAAAAATTAATATATAATAATACAATAGTGGTAAATTCTTGATAAGATAAATGAATACCAATTTTTTTTAATTATTGTATTCATTATATTATAGGAAAATCTCTTTGAATGGCATTTCACGGTTAGGGGTCCACCCGAAACTGACTTTGACAGTGGTCTTTATCATGGAAGAATTGTACTACCTCCCGAATATCCCATGAAACCACCGAGTATAATTCTTCTGACTGTAAGTTAAATATTGTGTTCCACAGATGACCCTTGATTAAATCAGACTTCAGCTGATTTTGTTTTTAATACTGATTATAACCTCTTTGGTTATGCATGCAATCTCCAGCAGTTGGTGTTAACATTAATGCTTTTTCTGTGGGAAAATTCTTGAGAATGGAAGCAGATAGAACTGAACAGTCTTTTGCATTAAATTAAAAATTTGATTCAGAATTTTCAAAATTAAATTTTTTCATTTTCTATGAATTTATAAAGTTACTAGCAGACCCCGCCACGCCTTGTTGTGGCTTAAAATGTATCTATTATAAATGTATAACACTTCCCCCGTGGGGAAAAATTTTTCAAAAAATCCCTTCTTAGTGTACATTCTGTTGACATACCCTATTAAAACGCAATCAAAAACGCAAAAACCCGCGTCTAAAATAGTATAATAGAAGCCAAGTTTTTCACAGTAAGCCTTAATCCTGTCCCTCTCCCCCACGGGGGAAATATCGAAAAATCCCTTCTTAGTGTACATTCTGTTGACGTACCCTATTAAAAAAAAACTGCATCTAAAATAGTATAAATAGAAGCAGAGTTCTTTACGGTAAGCCTTACGGGGAAGGCTTACCGTAAAGAACTGTCCATCCCCCATGTTTAACGGAATAATATACAGCCTATGTCCACCCTGAAGTTCCATTCTAAATATTGGTAAAAAAATTTTTGAAATCGGATGAGTAGTTTCGGAGATTACCTGCTGCATACAAACTAACATACATACATACATACATACATACATACATACATACATACATACATACATACATACATACAAACATTACCTCTTTATAATATTAGTATAGATAGAGAATAAACAAATTCAATTTTTGAAAATTTTGAATCATACATTAATTAATAGAAGAATTAAATAGGCTTCTAATACAAAAAACTGTTTGGTTCTATCTGCTTTTGTTTTTGAGAATTTTTTCATAGAAAAAGCATTCCGTCTGCTGGAAATTACATGCTTAACCAAAGAGGATATAATTAGCTTTAAATGGTCTACTCTGCCATTTTTTTGGAGATTAGATATTTGAAGGAGAGTGTATTATAAATGACTTGACTAACCAGATAATACAGATAACTCTTTATTAAGACAAACTTGACAGTGGTACTTCTCTCTTGTTTCCTGGAGCTACAACATGGCTGTTTCTTGTGCCCCACAACTCTTTCAACCTATGTTTTCACCTTGGTGCATATACAGTTAAATTTAACATTTAATTAATTTAAATTATGAACCTATATTATAGAGAGATAGAGTGCATTGTAGTGATTTTGTTTGTGTTGTAAATATTATAACAAATTATTTTAGGAGTAAATACTTGCAAATTTTAAGATATTTTGTAACACTAAACACACAATTTTAGGTCTCCTCTTTTTAACTTTAACTATAACAGAATGATGTGAAAAGAATGTTACATTAACTAAGTTTATTCAACATTGCAACTTCAAAAGACTGAATAACAAGTATAGATACACAACAAAACAAAATCTAAAAATCAAGCACACAAAATTACAAATATTAATTTAAAATGAACATTTTTGGTAGTATTAAACAACTACCATCAAGTTATATACAATATTCAAAAGTTGAAAGCAAAATCGAATAGAATATTTTCAGTTAGAAATGTTGGCCAATGATCAGACTGTGGCAATGGCAACTTCACAAAAACCTACAGCATTTCTTATTGGATTTCAAATAAAATTTCCAGGCTTTCAGTAATGTATTGTTATCATTGTAATAGCTGAAGCATTCCTGCAAGCCTTACAAATTTTTAAGTTTTCTACATGTTTGGTGTTATGCAAATTTCATGAATAATGGATGAGATGTGAGCCTGTAATTTCTTTTCCAATGCAAAGGTGGCTAATGCTGTTGATGTTTGATCTTTATTGATTGATATCAGGTTTTCTTGTAGGGATTGGTTTAAGGGGCGAGTCATTGCTCCAATGTATTGGAATTGCTTGGTATCCTATTGTCCTACATAGGTATCCTGGTAGGTTACAACTGTTCGGAAGATCTTTGGTGTTTCTAAGTAAATCATATATTGTAGAGGTTTTCTATATGCTTAGCTTAGGTTGTTGTTGTTAGCAATCTTTCATAATGTGGGTGTCATGAGCTTGTTGTACATTATCAACTTGAAATTACATTCTGCACTTCTATTTTTTCCTGTGCAATGCAGGTAACCATATGGAATAGTAAATCTGACCTGCAATTTTTCTTAAAGTCCATCAACAATAATCTGTTTGGTATCAACCTATGTCTGAACAGGAACATCCTTCCAAGGCACACGTAAATGTCACTATCACTATCAAAGAAGGGCATGTCTCCACCTCTGTAAATCATAAACCGAAATATCACCCAATTTTTATCCTGGCTTTCTTGCATGATCTGTACTTGTTCAAATCAGTTTCAGAGCTCTGAAAAGAAGAGTAGACACACGTCTGACTAGAAAAGTATGAAGGATGAATTGAAATATATTACTAAGGTAGTGATACATCACGGATACCAACTTGGAGTCATCAAAGGATTAATTAAGGAATAGCCACATTGCACAGTGAAAAATAGTGATGCAGAATACAATTTCAAGTCCTTAGCATACAGAAGTCTACAATATATGATTTACTTAGATGCACCAAAGACCTTCAGAACAGTTATAACCTACCAGGAATTTACTTGTTACCTGTGTTGGACAATAGAGTTGGCAAGCAATTCCAATACATTGGAGCAATGACTCATCAGTGCCTACAGGAAAATCTGATACCAATCAATAACGATCAAATATCAACAGCATTAGCCACCTTTGCATTAGAAGAGAAATAACAGGCTCACATCTCATCCATTATTCAAGAAATTTGCCTAACACCAAACATTTAGAAAATTAAAAATTTATAAGGTTTGCAGGAATGTTTCAGCTATTACTGAAAGCCTGGAGAATTTTATTTGAAATCCAATAAGAAATGCTGTAGATTTTTGTGAAGTTGACATTGCCACAGTCTGATCATTGGCCAACATTTCTAACTGAAATATTCTATTTGATTTTGCTTTCAACTTCTGAATGTTGTATTGTGGCTGTACACTATTCTATTTTGTATAATTTTTAATTTAATTTTATATTCTCTCTCTCTAAATTTATCCTTCCTTCCAATATCCTTTGTTTCCTTGTTTGAACTTCCGAGAACTTGGACTCACCCCTAGCCCACCAGGAGGTAGGGTGAAAAGGCTGGAGGGGAAAATTGAAATTCCAGTACAAATTCTTTGGCTGGACATGAGAGGCAATGGACGTGTGGTGGCAAGGCTCATAAGTGGAATCCGACGAGTGCTGTAAAAAAGGAGACTGTAGAGAACGGATCAAGAAGGAAGTAGCTCGATAGATCTGGAGGAGAACACACAAAGCCGATCTGCAAGAGAATAAAACATTCGAGACTCTGAAGCTGAGACAAAGAAATACTTGGAATACTCGCTGATAAATTGGGTACCCCCTATCCTATTATTATTCTTATTTCCCCTTCTATCCACCTTCTATTAGATTAAGTTAGATTAAGAATCACACGAGAGAATATTAGACACAAACCATTGTCGGGTTAGTAGTTGGGATAAGACCAACTACCAGGGTCGCCTGTAATATTGAAACCATCAGAAGGTAGCTGGAATTGCACAACAGCAGGAATCCTTAAAGAAACTGTATATATATATATTAAGCACAAAAGTAAATTTGTTTAATTGGATCATGCATTGTGTCTTCCTTTCGTGCAGCACCTCTTATAGTATATAACGTTATGGTGGTTGTTTAACACAGTAGAGCATTGGTTAACTGAAAGCGTTCCAGTCACTGTGTCGTGCTGACTCAAATGTTTTTGATGCTAGATTAACTTCTAAAGTATAATTTTTTTGTTTTTATATTTTTCANATGAAATTTGCATAACACCAAACATGTAGAAAACTTAAAAATTTGTAAGGCTTGCAGGAATGCTTCAGCTATTACAATGATAACAATACATTACTGAAAGCCTGGAAATTTTATTTGAAATCCAATAAGAAATGCTGTAGGTTTTTGTGAAGTTGCCATTGCCACAGTCTGATCATTGGCCAACATTTCTAACTGAAAATATTCTATTCGATTTTGCTTTCAACTTTTGAATATTGTATATAACTTGATGGTAGTTGTTTAATACTACCAAAAATGTTCATTTTAAATTAATATTTGTAATTTTGTCCATTTGATTTTTGGATTTTGTTTTGTTGTGTATCTATACTTGTTATTTAGTCTTTTGAAGTTGCAATGTTGAATAAACTTATGTTAATGTAACAATCTTTTTACATCATTCTGTTATAGTTAAAGTTCAAAAGAGGAGATTTAGTCATCTGGGGCTAGGGTTATGCAGTCTTTTTAAGAATGTCAGGAAAGACGCAAGCAGTACTTTTTCAAGCTTTTTAACATTTTTGTCAGTTAATGTGACTATCTCCAGAAGCCTAGAATCTTTGCATTTGCAAAAAACACACAAAGAGATCAAGGAAATCAGACCAGTGGTGGAAAAATGTAACGCACCAACATATATACTAGAGAAGTGCTTAAAAAAGTATGTTTCAGAAAAATTAGAACAAAGTAATTGTTTCTCATGATCCAAATATGGTGGTAAAAGAATTGCAAGACTTGGCTTTAATGAACAATGAAATAGGGACTGTGATGGATTTTGAAAGTCTATACCCATCCATGAATCTAGCATCTTGTTTCAATGCACTCATTGAATTTATAGTCCAACACAATCCAGTGTTATCAACATACTCGGAGGACTTAAATAATCTAGCAGATGTAATGTGCTACCATTTTTTTTACATTCAATGCGGTAACATAGAAACAAAAGAAAGGTGTTCCAATGGGAAGTCTTATATCAGGACTTTCTTCAAGACAGATTTCTTCGAGGACATTATATTCTACAAATGTTATGTTGATGACATATTTATAATTTGGAAGGATTACAGGCAGATTGAAGAATTTTTACTTGCAATCAGTAGTAATAGTCATGGGTTAAAACTAAAATTAGAACAAAAAACTATACTCATCTCCATTTTTTGGATGTTGATATAAGATTTAAACAAGGAAATGTACAAACAACGGTGTATTTAAAATCCGCGCATGCTCCTCTCTACATACCATCTTGGTCCGACGACCTGTATAAATATAAATTATCAGCATTCAAGGCACTTATCAGAAGAGCCTTTTTATATTGTACCAACATTCAGGACTGCATCAAGGAAATTAGTAGAATTAAAAGAATTGCAACAAATTTAGGCTACAAAACTGCTACAATTGAAGATCTAATCAAAAGTTAGAGAGCATAAAGGCAAAACAGATATTAAAGTAGATACAGTTAACAAATTCACATACAATATGCATATAGGAGGAGTGATGAATGAATTGGTTACGTATAAAAACTCAAGAATGGTCTATAAAAGAGCATCCAATATCTATAGCTTACTAAGGAATGACAAAGACAGCATAAAAATGGAAGAAAAAGCTCGAGTTTATAAAATACCATTTGAAAACCAACAGTTAGGAGTTGCAAAGGATTATGTGGATGTGACCAGAAGAAACCTGGCAGTACGTCTGCGAGAACACAAATACAATGTGGATAAAAGGGCATAACACAATATTAGCAATTATGGCACAGACAGCAGGAGTGATTGTAAAATGGAACGAGGCAAGTCATCAAAACTGTATACTCTCCATCCATTGTGTTGGAGATGGAAAAGACGGAAATACATAAAAGTAAAATGAAAAACCATTGCCTAAATGCCAAGGATGCTAATGTGCTTCCAACAGTGTGAAAGTATATGAAAAAAGCATGGGACTTAAAAACCCTTAAAGCTTGTAATAGTTATACTTAACCCTGTTTACTATGTTTTATATTATTTATTTGTTCTTTTCATTGTTATTTATTTATTGTATTTATTTATTTTTTCATTTATTTAATATACACAATTATTGTAAATCTTTTAAATTTCAAATGAAACGTATTCGAAAAATGACACATTCCATTTTGGAATGGTTTTATCGTAAGCCTGAAGATTGCCTATATTAAGTAGGTTGAAAATGTTTGAGAAATAAAATATTTGTGCTCGGCAAAAAATTCAGGTGTGTTGATATAATTTAAGCCAAAACATATGCCAATAAAAGACACAAGATTCCTTTTTTAAGCAGCATCCAAATACAGTAGAGCGTCGATTATCCGAATCAATTGGGGACTGGGGTTGTTCGGATAACCGATTAAATACGAAAAAATAGTTTAACGTATCTGATGTTGAAATTTTTCTCCGTTGCGTGTCACTTTGCGTTGAATTTTCGTCGATGTTAAGCCTAACGAAGACTATTGTATCGTTAAAAATTATTTTTTTATTTTGTACAAACAAAATAAATATATTGAAAAATATAAAAACAACAAAAAATTATACTTTAGAAGTTAATTTAGTATCAAAAACGTAAAATATTTGAGTAGTCCAAGACATAGCCAAAGATTGCAGCACCACAGCACTAGCAAAAATTTAAATTTGCTGACTGGAATTCTTTTGGATAATTGACGTTTTGGATAATCGACGCTCTACTGTAATGCCAGGATTATTTCATAAATGAAAGCATTTAAATTTATAAAGAGTGTAAAATCTATAATAAAAAATTTCAACTAAACATTGTTGATAATTTCACAATATAAGATCAAAATTTACAATCTTATATCTAATTTATTAGTAAAAGTTCAAAATTTAATGAAGTGAACTTGTTAACAATGAAAATGAAATTCAACATTTACAAAATGTAATAATACAACAGTAAATGTAGGGGAAAAAATTGTTTTAAACAGAAAAAGCATTTAACAACTTTTATCTGACAAAAAAGGTTTGTTAACTTGTAACTTAAATCTACCTTACAATTGCAACTTTTCTTAAACCAATCATCTATTCATCACATTTGGTGTCATTCTGGGAATTATACCTCAGCTCTTCTTTTGCATTGTTTTAAGCACCAAATATGACATCACACTTCTAACGTCATTACATGTTTATCTACATACATGTTTGCTAGAACTGTTTTACAGTTCTCTCTTACTGACAATTTTCTCTGTGCAATATTCAATGCACGGGCAAAGCTATCATCTCGTTTAAAGGAGATTAGTTTTAAATGAAGCATGCAAGTTTTTGTCCTTTTTAACAAAACAAACTCCAAAATAAGAAAAGAACTAAAACAAAATATTACAACTCCATAAAATAAAAGCATTTTGGCTCAATTCCTCACAACAAAATTTAGAAAATATTTAGAAAAATGGATGCTAAACAGATATTATAAAAAAGATATAGTTCATCAGTTTATCTAACCAAGTTGTATTATGATCTGTGTAATTTAGAATATTCAAAATGTTAGACAGAATGACACATGCAATGATGTTTCTGTTGTCACATGTCTTAAGGGTTAAAGTTTTTTCATTCACTGATTGTTTTCATTTATTCATTATTGTGTTAAGAGTAACTAAATCCAATATTGTATTTCTAGTAATTCTTTCACTTTAATTAAAAGACGAATTTCAATGATTCATCTCACTTATTTTGTTGCTCCAATACAGTTTGATAAGTCTTCTATAACTCCACTAATTGGAATTCTGAGATAATTAAGTAATAACCAAAAGTTTTTGGGTTTTACCGAACTGTTTAATGTTCTACTAAAGTTAATTAATGAATAAATAAATTTCACTGTAGAGGAAAGAGTTGATATTCTTTCATAATTTTAATAACAAAGTATAAAATTTAATGGTTTTCGGTAATTTGATTAAATAGGATTATAAATCTTCAATGCAATTATTTTAATGAATGAATGTATGTGTGTGTATATAATACAGGTATACCCCAGGTTATGACCATCTCACAATAAAATAAACTGCAGATACGATCATTATATATTTCTACCCTACCATAATTCGACTTAGCTATCCCCACCAGTATGACACTTTGTCCATTCCAAGTGTTACTACCTGTCTGGTTTTTATTTCATGTGTCTGGGTGAAGATCAAAAATGTCTAGGTTTTAAGAAAATTTGGCAAATTGTCAATAATTATTTTTTAATGATATAGCTGATTTTATCACTGTCAAAGTCTGATAATTTAATTAGCAAGTCATTTATAATAACATTCTGGAACGCACTTATTTGCATGTTAATTTGTTTGTTGTTCTAAAATATGGAAGTTTAAAATTTAAAAAGAATGTTAAAAAGAAAAGTTTTAAAATTCAAAAAAAAGAATGTTATAAAAATATTTGGAACGCAGAAGATGGAACAGCAAGTTTGAAAGGTTGAAAGTTGAGGGAAGGTTTGTTATTGGCTTGGAGAATAAAAGGAATGTTTCAAATCCTCCTGGTTTGAAGGTTTTTCATGTAGAAAGGGACCTGTGGTGATAGAGGATCACTTAGATGTGTTATTTCAATACTAGCAAATGAGCTTGGCATTGCTCGGGCAAAAAGTAACAATAGCAAAGATTAGTATTAGATTATAGCCGATCTTACTTGTTTTCATCGGGTGCAAGAATTAGATCCTTTCTTGTCTGAGACTAATTACAAAATTTTTAGGTATCTGCGTACCACACAGGAATAATGATAATCAAGAATCACTGCAACCACTAACCCATGCGTAGTACCATTAACTTGTAAGTGATGAATAACAAACATAATTTTCATAATTCTTTTCGAGTTCTTTTTCAGGATTACTTAATTCCAAAAATAAATTGGATCTTCCAATTTATTTTTGAATCATTCATAAATATAAATTTGAACATAAAATCAAACATTAAGACGAAGAGTTCAAATAAGACAGACTTATGCACATTTACTCCTTGTGTCAACTTTAAATATGATGGAACACTAAAGATTGTTGAGAACTTTTAGAAGGGTCTAAAAATGCAAAAAAAAATTTCTTTAAAAAGCAAAAATTTGCATCTAAAATAGTAAAGTAAAACCCAAGTTCTTCAGGGTAAGCCTTAACCCTTTTCCACTTCCCTGTGGGAAAGTTTCCATAAATCACTTTGTAACCTGCATTCTCATGGCATACCCTATTAAAACACAGTAAAAATGCAAAAATCTGCATCTAAAATAGTATAATAGAAGCAAATTTCTTCAGGTTAAGCCTTAATCCTCTCCCTCTTCCCAGCAGGGAATTTCCAAAATTCCCTTCTTAGTGTACATTCTTGTGACGTACCCTAACTGTGTACCAAATTTCAACTTTCAACTGCTAACTATTTGGGCTCTGTGCTTTTTATTTTATTTCCAATAATTTTTTTCAATAAAGCATTTTATTTTCAATAATTATTTTCTTGTAATGTTTGTATTTAGCCAAATGGAAGATTTGAAATTCAAAAAAAAATCTGCCTTAGTATATCTGGCCATCATCCTGAATCATGGCAACCATCTTGGTCCAGTAAGTATGCTGAAACAGAATAAATAGTACTTGTTCATAGGTTTTCTTAATGATGATTAATTTTTTTTTTCAGTACGCACGGCCTTACTTGCAATAATTGGTTTTATGCCCACACATGGGAATGGAGCCATTGGTTCTCTGGACTACACTCCTGCGGAAAGGAAGATATTAGCTAAACAGTAATATTATATATTTTTTAAATAAATGTATTAGTGATGGGATGATTAATCGGAATCTGGAATTGGAAAACTGGGCATTTTTTTCGTAACCAGAATTGAGCAAATCTCGTCATTGTTCCACTTTTTATAAGAAAATTAATTTTTGTTTCAGTCAGAGTAAAATATTATTAAATTACAGTATTAACATTTAAATATTTAGTATTGGAGGCCTTCACGTTGATAAAGCAGAGTACACAATGCCCCATATATGAGGTGATGTCTGTCATGATGGACTTTCGTGTAGTCAGAGTGATGAGAGATTGCACTTGGGATCAGTACTTTGTCCCACTTAGGGGAGAGAGAGTGACATTAGGGTTGCCACCTGGCCAGTATTGGGTCAGCTTGACTGGCAATTAAAAATCGAGGCTGGTGGTCAACAAAAATATTTAAGTGTCTGCAAAACAGTTTAAAATATAAACAAAATTATATTTTAATTGAAAAAATACATAAAATTATTTTTAATATTTAGTATGTTTACTTATAATGATATAACACTTGAACAACAACTTAAATATTTTTTTCAGCAACACTTTAATTTATTTAAATGAACATTCTCAACCCCCTTTTATAGGTCTGCTTCAGGTTTAACAAGAATATTTGGACTTTTGTCTTAAACAGTTTGAATCTTGTTAAACCTGATGCAGATTTATGAAAAAGGGTCAAAAACATTTGTTCAAATAAATTAGTATCGTACAAAAAAGTATTTAAGGTGTTGTTCAAGCTAAATTAGTTTCAGCCTAATTAGAAGTGTTTTTAATGTTAAAACAACTTTCCCATTATAACTATGAAAGGTTTTATGATTCATCGATGATACTGAAGTATGTTAGAATCACGCAAATCACATTTGAAAATTTAAGTAAAAATAATTGTTTGCTGTAAGTCTGCTGTCGTTTTGAGTTTTAAAAATTGATTTTTCAAGATGAATCAGTCTAAACAGTAGTTTGATTTTTTCTTTCGCTTGAAAAAAGTTCATGCAATTGTTCATTTAGGAAAACCTGGCTCAAGTGATGAATTCGAAATTTGGTTAACTTGTGATGATGTGTGTTTGGCTCGTTGCATCATTTGTTTATTTAACACTAAATGAAGTTTTCATTTAGTGTTAAATATGATGGAATTAAAGCATTTATGGGGCACACCAATTGCAAGAAGCATGAAAAAAAGGGCAACTTCTGATTTACCTTTCCCCTCCCCGATCATCACATTGGCCAACAAACCAGTTTCCAAAGATGACATGATGGGATAATTCTTTGAGTAAAAGTGAATGAGCTGTAATTTCTTTGAGGGTAGTATTGCAATGTTAACTTTATCTGAAATAAGATTACAAATTTATTTTGTAGTACACAATAAAAGCATGCATATCCACATATAAATGGAGAATTTTCAGGTTTCTTTTGAAAGATTGATTCTAGGTTTTTCAATCATTTTTCCATTTTTAAGCTTATGTTTATTAATTAATGAATGTGCCATGCTCATAGTATAAATCATTAATTTTCCTAAACTAAAGTAAACTTCAGAAACTATTCAAAAGAATTGGAATGGGGAGAAATTTTGGTATCGTCCCATCACTAAAATGTATTTACAGTACATATTTTATTTTTAATGTTTTCATTTTTCTAAATCTTTANCTTCAGGTTTAACAAGAATATTTGGACTTTTGTCTTAAACGGTTTGAATCTTGTTAAACCTGATGCAGATTTATGAAAAGGGTTCAAAAACGTTTGTTCAAATAAATTAGTATTGTACAAAAAAGTATTTAAGGTGTTGTTCAAGCTAAATTAGTTTCAGTGTAATTAGAAGTGTTTTTATTGTTAAAACAACTTTCCCATTATAACTATGTAAGGTTTTATGATTCATCGGTGATATTGAAGTATGTTAGAATCACGCAAATCACATTTGAAAATTTAAGTAAAAATAATTGTTTGCTGTAAGTCTGCTGTCGTTTTGAATTTTAAAAATTGATTTTTCAAGATGAATCAGTCTAAACAGTAGTTTGATTTTTCTTTCCCTTGAAAAAAATTCATGCAACTGTTCATTTAGGAAAACCTGGCTCCAGTGATGAATATGAAATTTGGTTAACTTGTGATGATGACATGTGTTTGGCTCGTTGCATCATTTGTTTATCACTAAATGAATTTAATTAATTAAAACTTCATTTATTTAACACTGAATAAAGTTTAGTGTTAAATATGATGCAATTAAAGCATTTATGGGGCACACCAATTGCAAGAAGCATGAAAAAAAGAAGGGCATCTTCTGATTTACCTCTCCCCTCCCCGATCATCATGTTGGCCAACAAACCAGTTTCCAAAGATGACATGATGGGATAATTCTTTGAGTAAAAGTTGCAATTTCTTTGAGGGTAGTATTGCAATGTTAACTTTATCTGAAATAAGATTATGAATTTATTTTGTAGTACACAATAAAAGCATGCATATCCACATATAAATGGAGAATTTTCAGGTTTCTTTTGAAAGATTGATTCTAGGTTTTCCAATCATTTTTCCATTCTTAAGCTTATGTTTATTAATTAATGAATGTGCCATGCTCATAGTATAAATCATTAATTTTCCTAAACTAAACTTCAGAAACTATTCAAAAGAATTGGAATGGGGAGAAATTTTGGTATCATCCCATCACTAAAATGTATTTACAGTACGTATTTTATTTTTAATATGTTTCATTTTTCTAAACCTTTATTAAATTTTAATTAGCTTTTATCCGCAGATACCGAATCTATTATATTATACATTTTCTAGTTTATTTACTTTACAAATTTAATGTTTTCATGTTTATTTGCATTGTTAATTTATTTCGTATATATGTATTTTTTTGCTTTGTTGTATCTTAAGTATCTGTCTCTTATATTGTAAAGAAATTTAATAAGTCTGCGCTTAATACATAAGTAGAATATAAAAATGCAGACACTTAAGCTATCAAGCGACTTAAAAAAATGTGTTTCGTACTTATTTATCAATAGAAAAAAAATGTTAGAAAGTAAAATAATAGTTTAATTAATTATCGAAGCACGTTCGAATCCTAAACAGTAGAAAACACATCTTCCAAACTCAATGCTATCAGCCATATCTTGGAGGTAATGTGNACAAGATATAACTAAGAATTTTATCAAATTTTATAAATATTTAATATAATTTTAGTAATTAAATATCTGACTTTGGTAATTATAAAAAGTTGAGAGTAATTACTCTTAACCTTTTTTAATATATTTAACGTTAAAAGCGAAAATTCAATAAAGATTAAGATTTTAGAATTATTTTAAATTATAGAATAGCTTTTATAACAATGTTTTAATATAAACAGATAGTAGAAAAGTTCTGTCATGAGAACAATAATATATTCTTCTTACTGTATATATTTAGATAGATTTATATTGTTGTTTTAAATTTTAAACAATAGCATATCCTTTTCTTGAAGTAGCATACCTATAAAATACTTGAGTGGCTGCTTTATGTAAAAAATATAGCGTCTTTAATATATCCTTACTTTGAAAGAACAAGTAGTCTATGCAAGAGAAACTGTTAAGCAGGTAACACAATCATTTGGTTAATTTGTACAAGATTTTTCTGGTATGAGCATTTGATTTAAATCTGATTCAACCTTTCTAATTTTTTATGGAAAATATGAATTAAAATGTTTATTTTTGTTTCCTGACTGCCTCTCTGAGAGCCTTAACTTCATCCATTATGTATAGTCTGATCGGTTGGAACACCAATTCCATTGTAGATCAGGTTATTTGTAATGGGTAAAATTAAGACCTTCCACACAGTTACTTGTAATAATGCCTAGCATAACTAATTGAAATTAATATCAGTCCAAAATAGAAAAATTCATTCAGTTGTTGGGAGTAAACTCCATTTATACTCAAAAAACCAAAACTGACCTTGCTAGTTTTTCCTGTTTTTTGATTAGCTAGATAATGAAATAAGACGTGTTTTGCATTTATACTTAAATGCAAGATACAAGATAAATCTAAGATACAATCTTAGTGTGTGTACGTACAAACAAACAAACAAAGGTTGTATCTTTGTATCTTCGGTCTCTAAATATAAATTAATTTCAAATTCAAAAACTGTGCAGTATAATTATTATAGTTTACAAACTCTATTTTATTCTGATCACTATTGTCTTATTTTTTGTGCTAGCACACTTTTCCCAAAGATGATATAGGATAGCAAAATTGAGAGACAGTTTTCTTCTATGTATCTATTTTTCAATCTAATTATTCTTATAAAATACATAAAAATTTGGATATAAACTTCTATACAATATAGATGTAGACAGAAAATGTTAGTAGTGGATTTCTCACTTATGTGCAAGGCCTACATAAGGTTTGTGAATTTTATTTTGATTTATGCTGTTATTAGAAAATTAACTTTTATACAATATTCTTAAAATACAAGAAATTGAATTATAAAACAGTAATATTTATAAACAGAAAAATATTTTTTTTTTTGTTTTGCAATAATGTTTACATATTTGTGACATTAATTCAAAACGTAATAGATTCTAAATACTTTTAACACAAATAAAAAGAATACTTTTAATAATCCATAAAATAGATTTAACAAGGAAAAATTAATTCCAATCACAAGACTTCATTAAGATGTTGTATTAGTGTAAAAACTGTGGAGAAACATAAGTTTTCCTAAAATTGTTTATTCTGTTAGCATTACTAAAATAACCTGGAACTGGGACTACTGTAAGAAAAGAAGAAACCATACACTAAATTCCAGCAATATTTACTTCAAAAAACAAACATTTTTGCTGCTTTGATATGCTTGCATCAGGTCTTATACACTGTTTTACAAATTAATGTTTGATTTACACAATGCATTGGTGTTCTAAAATAAGGTTGTATAACCAGTATTCAGAGTTATTACAGGAAGTCAATAGAAGGGTGATTAATTTAGAGAATCAAGTGACCACCAAGTGTGTGAAAAATG